GAACAAAGATTTCTGGAGAAGATAGAAATCATTCAGAGTCTTTAACAAGATCTACCTGTTTTCAACCTGAGCCTCCAAATAGGCTGTTGCACTTTAAAGAGCATTTAAATGTTTACAGTGATAGGAGAAGATGTGATTTATCCAGAAGCTTCACTTACATCAGTGGAGCTTCCTTCACCTGGGAACAACAGGTAGGAAAACATTCACAATCTCTTAAAGAAAGTAATGCTCCTAAGTAGCAATACATAGATTGTTGTAATATAGTGTAAAACATCTATATACTGAAAGAGAGAACAGAAAACATTTGTTTTAAAAAATGTTTAAAGGTGGTTTTTTTTGGCTCTATCACAAAATCAATAACTGGTGACTTACTTTCAATTGTAAACAAAAAAAAAAAGAGGAAGAACAGAAATGTCTCTGCCAAATATACAAAATGTTCATTTAGCTTGTGTTCCTTTTTATCTAGGTATACTTTTTTATCACTGATGTTCCAAGAAGATTTAACTACCAATTAGTGTATTTTTTACCTCATATCCCACAAACAGGGATATGAATTTCCCCCATTAACTACCAAAGCACTAATTAATATAGAGGAAGAGTACATTCTGTACTTCAGCTAACTGAAAATTCTTTTAAACACAGACCTGCACTGCCTATAGTGGCATTTGTAAGTCTACAGTGCACACCAGTGGACTATAGTAGTACATGCATTTTTCCACTTTTTTCAGGATAGTTTTGTAAAGATTCCATCTTATTTAACTCTTAAATGACCAGAAAAGCACATCATTCAGGATTTATAAGGATGGATATAAAATTTTGAGGAAGATTTGCAATGAGTATAAACAAGAATGTTTTATTGTACATAAGATAAAATGATCATTCTATAACCTAAAACTTCAACAGGCTTGCTGACTCCAATTCTGTGTTTACAAAGCACAGCAACACACCAAGGATTTGCTTTGTTTTCCAGAGTCCACAGACCTAACTAATCAAACTCAGACATAATTTTTGTGTTTCTCAGACTGATGGTTAATTGAGCTGTAAACTAAACTGTATCTGAAAAAATTGGATACTCCATTCCTGGGGACATTTCAACAAGCAAAATTATAGATATAAAAATTTTCATGTTCTTCAGAGAACTTAAAGATTCCTACTCTTTCCAACAAAGTTTACTTTAAACCCAAGTCTATCTAATGTCAGTACTCTTTATTTACTCAACAGCCTTTCAAACAATTTTTGCCTTTCTGTAGATACTCATGCAAATACAACAATTAGTGTAATTTTATACTGAGTAATTTCTTTCTTGTTTTTAAAATAACAAAGTGTTTTATATCTTTTAATGGATGAAGAGAATTCTTAGAACAAAGAAATTATCAGTTACAACACCAAACGCAACTTTCTATTGTACCTGTTAAAATGGTCTAATTTACGACCCCAAACAAGTCAAGATCAATGCTAGTGTCACACAAAGCTGCCTATAATGCTCATGGTTACTATGATCATAGATTATCACTTTACTACTTTTTTTAATGAGCTCAATATATTGAAAACTTATTTGCAACTTCCAAATTGATGCTGAATGGATAATATGTTAAAACAACGATCATCAAGATCACCAAGGCTTTCCATATTTAGTTTATTCCAAGATGAGTAAATACTTGTCTTTTAATGAAAGTAACTAAAGAAAGTGATTAGTTACTGGGAGCGCTAATAATCAAGTCTTGACAGCTGTGAAGTTTCTAACATTCCCCAAAATCTCTCCAACTTCCAAAAGGCTAGAAGAGCTATCCACTCCTAAAAATGGTTTAATTTGCAGTGGCACGGTCACTTGCAAACCAAGCACTTTTTTTCACATTCACAGTGGGACTGTTAGGCAATCTACCAAAGGAAATAGCAGATTAATTTAGTCAAGGACATGAAAATAATCCAGATGTAATGATTGAACTGCTTTTAATCTAGAAATTCCTTTGTGATTTAATATTGGAAATTTATCTTGGAATCAGATCCCATGCTTAGCCTAGTAGATGTCTGCACTTTGCTTTATTCCACTTTCAAATTTTTCACTGTCAAAATTCTTGTCTGTTGTTCCAGCATCCATTTCTCAACAGTAATATATAGTGAGTAATATTCACATCTGTGTTGTCAACACACAAGGTTTGGTTTATTTCAGTAGAGTTTCCACTTACAGAAACCCCCTCCACTGATATAAATAATTTCATTCAGATTAGTCAGATTCATCCAGATCAGTGTTCTTTTCTGCAATTTAAAAATGAGATTTATGTCATAAATGTCAGAAGCTGAAAAGAAAGCTTAAAATATTACCTCCTGTTAGTAATTAAAGCAATTGAGCATGTTCCCAAGAAAAAAGCAGAAACACATATATGTAGACATGCAAATGCATAAATATTGTTCTCTATCTCCACTGAATTCTCAGAAAATTTTTACTTCCTGTTGTTCTATTCCTGATGACAGTGCCATAAAGCATTTCATGAAGATTAAATTTCTTAAGCAAAACTATTAACTAAACCTAGATTTCCTCTGTTTGGCACAAGTATAACAAGCTAAAATCCTACTTAATGAGCAAACAGAAAATAAAGAACTAAAATTTAAAGGAACTCAAATATGAAAGATAGATATTGGTTTGCTGCTGTGTTGCATATGCATCACCTATTAACTGGAACTTGAGATTTAATAGACTGCTTGCAATTCTTTCCAGAACATGAAAGAAAACTAATTAAATTCCCTCCATTATTCAAAATTGGAGATGTTAAATTCATAGGACAGTTTAAATTCACCATCTATGTTTAGCTGTACAAGCATACATCTTGAGTTTTGTTGGACCAAAGAGGTCCTCTATCCATTGTCCTGAAAGTTAAAACCTGAAAACTGCAATACAAATATTTTTTATTCTTCTAATCATGGACACAGATTGAAATGAACATGTATTTCCTAACACCAACACAACCAGTCAATGTTCTTAAATTACTCCTTCAATGTAAAAGTACATTGCTTTCTGGTGTCAGACCTCCACCATGAGTGCCCTGCTGAGCTAAATCGGTCTCCTGGTGCATCTACCTGTTCTCCTGAGTATTAGGACAAAACTTGGTCGTACTCCAAGGCCTGACAGGTTGGGTTGACTCCTTTGTTTACCTATCAGAGTTGCCTCCCATGGGAGCCTTCCCAGCAGTTCCCTGACTAAGGCAATATCCTGCTCTCCTTAGGTTCAGAGTCTGTACTCTGCTGCTTGCCTTTCTTCTTTTAGGGTGACTGACACTGCTATTTCAAAGCTACCACAGAGGAGGAAATTATTCATCATCACATAACCAGCTAGTTTCCTTCATATTAGTCGACAGCAGGTCCAGCTATTCATCACCACTTTTTGGTCTTCAGCAAGAATTTATTCCTGAAACCCCACTGAAATCTTTGTGATTGCACCAGCTATTCTAACTTTCTAGCAGGTGTAGTCACCCACGAGAACTGGGATTTACAACTCTGAGATCTGTGTTCTTTAAACACTTTTTTGTTTCCTAATTAGGTGGTCTGTAACAAACTCCTACCACAATGACACCCTCACTGGCCTGTCCTCTGATCCTAAATTCACAAGTCTGATTATCCCCCATCCTTCTGGAGACCTCAAAAGAGCTGAGCTGCTTTTAGATCTGAGGGCAACTTCCATTCCCTCAGCCCTTCCTTGCCAGTGTTTCTAGAAGTCCTTCACAGTACTCCAGCTGCATGGACTTGGCACATCATTTGAATCATTCCAACATTGTAGTTCTGTAACCGCATACAGCTCTAATTCTCCCTGCTTGTTTCCTAGGATGTGTGCATTTTTTAATCAACATTTGAGGCGAGTGTCCCTTCACATTGTTTTATCATTCCTGAAGTCTTTCATGCTCCTATCAACCTATGCCCTATGTTTTCCAGCCGACCACCTCTTCTTTATTTCACTATGGTCTGTAATCTCTCATTGCTTCCTTTCCTAGTTCAGGTCCCCATGACCTCAACCCAGAGCTCTGTGATTATTCCCAATATGCTCCTAGCTGGTGCCCATCGGGATGAGTAGCAGCATAGCAGTCTATGCACTGGACAGACCTTGGCAATCTCTCTACAATTTTCTGGATCCTAGCCCACAGCAAGCCACATAAACCTCAAAAAAGCAAGTGGGGAGCACAGGGGTTTCTATCCTCACAGGAGCAAGCCTCCTACTACTGCCATTTGCTGCTTCCTTCTGATGTTAATGCATGGTGTGTGTTAAAGCTGGCTCTGGTGCCTCACAAGTTATTGCTTTCTTCTCTTACTTCACTTTTGAACTGCAGATCTGGAAAAAGAGCAATCCTACAGTTGCTGGAGGACATACCTTTCCAGCCCTCCTACTGTGGGACTCAATTCACTGTGAAACTCACAGCCTCTGGCTGCCCCTCCCATGTGGTTCAGACTATTTTACCTCTGGATCCCTATGAAGATCTTGTTAATCTCCTCTTTGCCTTCTCTAATCCTGCCCAGCCTTACTTCCTTGTCCAGGTTGATGGGGACAACACATTTTTTCAGGCAATTTCTACACCTCTACTGCTCTATTTCTCCAGCCTCTCAGGAAGGGTGGCAGCGCTTTCCTGAACATTCCCTCACCCCACGTGGGCCCTTTCTCTCTGAACACAGGGCACACTGGACCCTGATCACACATTGCTGTACATTGGGACCACCAGTCTCACCACACATGGGAAGGGGCATGGAACCTGCCACCTCTGGCTGGTCCTTCCTGGGAGCCTGTGGAGCCATCCCGGTGCCACTCTCACAGCTCCCCTGCACCTGCGCTGCCATGGCAGCATCCACACACCCCCACCAGGTCCCTCCCACCTGGCTACACAGAATAATCATTGATAAATGGTGGATTTATCACATTCATAAACACTGGATGCAATTTTACTCAGCTACAACACAGGAAATTGGAAGTCTAAATTTTCTTTCTAACTCCATGTGATAATAATTTACTGCTAACATACCTGTTTCAGGATTTCCAGCTTGGTTTGTCTCAGTTCTTCATATTTCCATTTCCAAAAAAATAATTCATTTTCCATCTTTTCCATTTCTTTCTCCAGAAATACATTCATTCTAAAAAAGTATTTTAAAATTTAGCATTGTACAATTTTGAAGCTGAAAGAACAAAAATTACTTTGAATTTCCTTCTCATAGCTTGAGTCATGCTGCCTTTGTCAATGTTATATCTTGGCTTTTCTAGAAACTTTTATTATCATTGCATAATTAGTCCAAAATATTAATAAAAAATAATAGCTAAAGAGAAAACAGAAATCCAGTAGTACAGTATTGAAACTTTAAATGAAATAAAATTTTGGGATAAACTGAAGAAAATTTAACTTCAGTTAGTGGTTCAGGCCAGCTAGTTTATCACAAGTTTCTTAACATTAGTGAAGATCCTCAAAGAAAACATATTACATCACTTGTATTTAGTACAAACAGCAGATTAAACACACAGGGGGAAATATACACTATAAAGACCAGAAACAAAAGATAATTTATGTTAAGTGTAAAAAAAAATAATATTAAAAGATGTATATTTCATGTGTTAAAAAATAATAGCTCCTGGAAGAAACTGCTAGAAGAATTTTAGGAAAATGTAATATTTAGGGTAGAAGTACTATGCCTGTACAATGTGAAAAATATGAAATAGTTGAAAAGGAAATTCTAATACATGGCAATTAAAGAAACTGTTGTGTGCCACAGTAGTAATATTCTATTTTAATGGAGGCTAACATAATTTTTCAACATTTTTAACAAAGATGTTATTGCCAGGCTTACTAGAACTATATTTTGAGAATATTTGGTTTAAATATTCACATATTGAAGCAAAGTGTATTGATGGAATTTGTCTGGGACATTTCTGTGCAGCAGACTGCAGGCTTGCACAGAGATAACAAGAGTTGCCTCTGACTGGACTGACTCAGGTCCTGGAAGCAATGTCAGCTACTCTAATGAAGCAATCCACTATAGTGAAATATCTCCTTCTCTCCTCTTTTATACCTAAACCTAATGTTCTTGAATCAGGGATCTCCTTTTTCTGCCTAGATTTAGTATATAGCACAGCTTATGTTAGCAAGGATCTAGAAATCCCATAACATTACAGTAAGAAAATAAACACCATTATTCACCAAGCAAAATGGAGCAATATGTATTTAATGCATCTCAACGGTTTTGCTTTCAAAGTGATGGGATATTTCATTGGAATGATATCATGACTTCATTGGGGAACTAAGAGTATTCTTAGTGGGACATTTAATACAGTGGAAAGTGAAAGCATGAAAGATGGCATTCTAATACTTTGAATAATTGCCTATTGACTGTACTGAATGCAGTGAAAGTCCTCAGAAATGGTCTATTCTGAAAACTAAAACAGGAATGTACAGTATGTTTTGCTTATTTAGAAGACACTAGTTTTGTTTTGTGTTACAGTACTTAAGTGAGATCACTTCCTTCTGATACCACTGATTGAAAGAAATTATTCTGATTACATAAAGATTACTATTTAAATAAAGAAAACAAAGAGTGGAAGAAAGAATATAGCAGACATCAGAAGCAACTTACTTACTAGAATCAAATTCAGAGCATTTTTCATGGATCTTGTAAGGAGACATTTTAACTCATTATCTAATTAAATCACAGAATTACAGAAAATGGTTGAGGTTGAGAGTGACCCCAAGGAGGCCATCTGGTGCAAACCCCCTACTCAAGCAGGGTTGCCTAGAACTGATTGCTCAGGACCATGTCCAGATGCCTTTTGAATCTCTCCAAGGACGCAGACTCAGCAGCCTTCCTGGGAAACCAGTACCAGTGTTCAGTGATCCCCATAGGAAAAAAGAGGATTTTTTGTTGCTTACACAGAGCCTTTTGTATCCATTGTCTGCGTTACCCAGCCAGTCTTAAGAGGTTCTTCTTTAATATTATCAACTAGCAGTCAACTAGTTTGTGGGCTTTTGGTTTTAGAGGAAATAAACACTTTTAAGTTCAAACACAACAAATTACTATCTTAAAACTAGAAGACAATTTAGATGAGAACACTGATCCAAGATTACAATCTTGATGACAAAAGATAGCTATTTTAAGCAAATGATTATGCAAAATGCTGAGCTACTCATAAGGTTTGTAATTTCCATTCATGCTAAAGGACCTCAAATGTGTAATTGATGTGAGCCATTAGTACCCAGTAGAGAATGTTGGTGTGTAATTTTACACTGCAAACCCAAGGCAAGATATTTTTTGAATGTCAAAACATAAATTTTCATCTCTTTACTTTTATTTCTTTTAGACCTTCTTTCCTTTTGTCCTTTGCAAAGCCTGATCGGTGTGCATAAGGTTATGTCAACATTACTGATGATAGCTCTAAGCAGAATGCAAAAAGCAGAAGTCTTCTCAGGGTGAAAAAGCAAAATATCTTGCAGAGAGAGTTGGGAAACCAAGAAGTTTACTAGTTAGGTAACTTAGAGGGAAATTCAAACACTGGATTTGCATAAGCTAACTTGACTCTAGAAAAATGCAGTCAGAGTTCAGGGTGCTGCATATAAACCAGGAAACTGCTGAGAAGTCCTCTGCTGTATAAGTAAGATCATACTGACTGCTAAAGTAACCTCTGGCCTTAGGGTTCAAGCTGTCTATTATCTGTTTGCTTTTGATGCAATACAGCTGTGTGTTCTTGGCTCGAGTTCACTGAGAAAATTGCTAAGTTGTGAGAAAGAAGCTGTGAGAAAATACTTAAGCTAGAGCCACACAAGATAAGGGGAGTAAAAATGCAAACGGGGTGAGATTGTTGAGATAGTCATTACTAGCAACTCCAGAATACAGGAGTAAAAATACTGACATGAGCAAGAACAAAACCTAAGAGAGAAAACTGGAAATCTGAAGTTGGAAATATGGCAAAATCAGCCAATTCTACAAAGTGGTGGAGACCAACCCTTTCTGAGCTAGCAGGTGACAGCCTGCTTAATACAGATTCATCAGCTATCTCAAGAGACTGGTGGCTATTATAATACTAGTAACATTATTCCTAGCTATTGACTGTCTGCATTGCCAAATATAGTTGCTTCATACTTAGAAGTTGCATATCTTCTGCTTGCATAACATCTCTGCATGCAGGAAATGTTGCCCTCCTGGAGAAGGAGTTGTTGTACCAATCCCTGCTGTTATGTGGAATCACAGCTCGGTGAGCATTTTTGCTGCCTGAGGTTGGCATTGCCACATGTTGCATGTTATAAACGTGCCCCGGTTCTTACTGTGTGCCAGTAAATTTATTGTCTTATACCGCAGTATAAAATAAATGAATATGAAATTATTCATAAATGAAAAAAATGAAAAAATAGATACATGAAAAAATGAATAAATGAAAAAATCTGTCTTTGTGAAGTGCAGCTAAAAATTGGTTAGAGAGGCATGTGAACAAAGAGACAAACCAAAACATATTAAAGTTTTGCCTGAGAAGTGACTAAAAGTGAGTGGAAATATTATCCATTTTCTAAAAAAAAGTTATTATATATGTATGCATACTTCATTGCTGATGAACTACCCAGGCCCCTAAATATTTCTACCCCAGGAAAATGGGTATGTGAGGCACATCAGTCTCCTAACTCACACATATATTTGCTTTCACAGGCAAATGAAATACCTTTTAAGGAGAGAGAGCATGGCCATCTTCTGCTATATGATTCAACTAGAGATTTATTGTATGCTTTCTACAACTATTTAATTCATATAAAAAAGCACATAAAATATTAGTTAGGAATTGAAAGGATTCTTTACCTCAGACCTGTACTATGTACATGACAGTTATTAAATAAAAAGACAGGAAATGGGAAATAAACTGACAGGAAGGAAATTCTTCAGCACAGTTTACTATTGAAGACTCTCTGAACTGAAAGTGTTGACTGTATTTGCAATACACAGGGCATTTTCTTCCTTTTAGTTTTCTAATTAACTTCAACTGATTTTGAAATTACCGTCCCCTGTAATTACAGCCTGAAGTCTACTACTACATCATCATACATCACATGCTCCATGTTTCCTTGGAAAGCCTTTCTGGTGAGATTCAATCTTTCTTAATGTTGAACATTTATACAACATAAAATTTCTTTTAGGCCACCAAAATATACATTTAGTATTTATGTCAGGCAAATTTGATATGCTACATAAGTGTACAATAAATCTGTAACTCCCTCTTTGTTACAGGCTTTTAACACAGACTTTGCTACAAGTGAAGAGGTTAACAGAATTTTGCAGCTGATTCATATATTTTGAATTCAAAAACAGCCTTTGCCATTCTACAGTTGGACTCTTTCAAAGGCTGCTGGTAGAGTATATGAAAATTTGTTATTATGCACAAAGCACTCCAATAACTGGTTATAACATACATTAAATATCACTGCATCAATACCAGATTGCATATTTGTATGGGACACCTCTTATTTAAATGACAGACAAGCCAAAGAAAACAATAGACACACTTTGCTGAATTGTTTCTCTAAATTCTTATTAAAGCCTTGCAAATAGCAATGAATAAAGTTTAGAAGATATGAGCTCTAAATGCCAACATCACCATATCTATTTTAGAAACTGTCTTCAACCCCTCTATGAGAATTCCAAAAGTAGGATATATTTTGCACTTACTCTCTTTCCTTCTGTAGGATTTTCCTCATCTCAGCCAAATGCAAATTTAAGATTGATACATGTATTAAATCATTCTCTGTTGTCTTAGCTGTAGTACCCAAACATATTTCAGGTTCCTCCAAAAAGATGCTGGGAAGTCCATTGGAGAAGAAATTGGGAGGCTTTGGGGTGATTTTTTTGTTGTCATTGCTTTGGTCTTTGTTTACATCCTGAGAAAACAAAAATATGACACCTGAGAAAAACATAAGTGAAGCAAAAAGTCTAACATAGCTCTAGCAGGGCCTACCAAGGCTCTTCTAGACATTTAAGGAATATAGGAGAAAAAAAGTAAATAGGTAACATCTTAGACAGTTGGACTGTGTATGGGTAGAAGGTGCAAAAATGTCAGTATATTTAAATAACTATAGCTTTCTAATATCTCACAGCTTCTGTTATGACAAGCTTCATATCCAAAATACTTCAAACATGTCTTTACTAAGGAAATATATTCAATTTCTCTTTTTTTGGCTATAACTCTGGTGAAGACAGAATCTTGGAACTAATAAAGCCAGCAATGCAATTTATCCATACAAATAATTTACTGAGAAACTTTACATTAGGAACTCAAACTTTTTATGTAAAGTATATTGAAGCAGGCTTACACAAGTTTTTCATAAGGAACAAAGTATATAGATATCTATTTTGAAGATACATGTTTTGCATACAAAACACTAGAAAAACTAATATCAAAATTGGAAAAAAATTAAAAGTAAAATACACATTTTTGAGGAAGACTGAATGTCTCTTATAAACAAGTTTCCCTTAGAAATATATTTGCTTTACCATAGCTGAGGACATTTGTTTAAAATCTAATCTCATTTTAGCAGTTTACTGACAATCCTCTTTCACATCACTCTGTTGTTTTGAGTTTTTAGAATAATACCCAAAATTTACATCAGAAAATACTAGAAACCACTGAAAAATAAAAATGTTTCCCATTCACATATAAACTTTCATTTTTTAAGTAGAAAAAATTTTATACTAAGGAAAAATAGTTAAAGTATATTTTGTGGTATTTCCTTCTAATGGCACATTTGTGACTGAAAATATGAAAGGTGTTCTTTTTTGGCAAAATTTATTCTTGCTACTAACATTACCTTCTTTGTTTTATTTTTTCCCCAGATTTCACAGGAATATAATAGTGTTAATATGCATTAGAGAGTAAAATTTCCAAAACAGAATACATACAGATCTAAGATCTTGGCAATTTCCCTTGAATCAAAGTAAAAACTTTCCTGCTTTCAACAATGCGGGAAAAACATTTTCCTTCAATGTGTGAAAAAAAAATTACCTATATTTACAAATACTGTCATCTATCAGAAAACAAGTAAAGTTTTTACAAGGTGCTGTCTATGAAGACTATATAGTGCATTCCAAGGCACAGAATTAAAGGTAGTTAAACATGAACAAATACTTCAATTTTTGATGAATGTACTTGGATCTTTTGTGTAAAGCTAGGAGCTGTCAAAACAATGCTGATACTTGATTTTTTAATTCTATATAATGATTTAATTGTTCTCCTTATCAAATAAAAAGTCTTGAACATTTGCAAAAGAATTGCCTACCTCTTCCCACACTTCTGACGTTCAGAGAGAATTAAATGATTTTAGATTCTAGGTTCTTTAGATGTCAAGAACCTAATATGCTTTTTTGGAGGGGAGAAAAAATGTAAGTATACAAAACATGATTAATTCAGACAAGAGAGGTAACCTGTTACCGTAAAACATGAGAGAGAATCAAAACAATATGGTAAATTATTGGATATAACAGTCTGCCTCTGTTCCTTAAGTGTCTAATCTAGTGTGCAAGGGTATGAATTTTTTTCTGTATTTTTCTGGATTAGAAGTATTTAGATGGGTGGGTCTGGGGGTTGAAGGGTTTTGCTAGTGAATGGATAAGGCAGTATTTTGGTCAAAAATCTTGAAAAATCCCATTTCTACATACAAATCCATACTTTATCACGTCTTCATGAACCACAAAAAATATTTCCCATTCTTTACCTTCTTTGTGTCTTCTGCCTCAGTAATTTTGATGATTTTGGTTAGGTCTTTCGGAGGTTCTGGTTCCAGAAACATTAACAGGCTTTGGTCTTTTTTAATACAGGATATTTCTGAGCAATAGCATTCCGTTTTCCAAGCAGTTCCATTTTCTAAGTTTTCCTTCTCACTTACTAAATCCTGATTTATTTTTTTAAGCACACTTAGCTCTTTTATGACACTGTCTAGTTTGATTCTCAATTGTCTTGCTTCCTCTCGTGCCTTATTTCTTTCTCCTCTAACTTTGCTCCATTTCTCCCTCCAATTAGCGGTGCAATCTGACCACCAGCGCATGGTCTTCTCCATTTGGGCAGCTCTGGCTTTGACTTCCTCCAGTTCCTGAATTTTTACTGCTTCAAAAATTTCCCAATCACTGCTGTAATTTGTCTGCATATGTGCATAATGAGGTGAATTTGGGTAGAAACTTTGAGATGGAAGATTTGAATGAAACAGATGGTCACCTGGTTGCCAACATCTATCTAATTTATCAGGTTGTGTTGGTTGGGTCCCAAAAACCTCTATCTCTTCCATTTGTTTCTGAATGGAGTCTAAATTAATGCTTTGATTCATCATCTAATTTCACTCCTAAAAAAGACAAAGACAGACAATAATTTAGCTTTTAATTAATTATAACGTATGAATGACCTTCAACAGTTGGGGTTTTTACTGTTCTAATAGAGAGTTAATGATGCTGCTCATGTTTTGGAAATGTGCTTTATCAACAAGAAATATCTATTCAAGTATATTTTCTTTAATACTTTTTGAGTACAGCATAAACAGACATATCTATTATTTGGCCAGGATTTGTTTGCAAAGGAAGAGTCATTAAATAATCATAGTGCTCTCAAAAATGTTTGAGCCAAAAGAAAATAGACAAAAGCTTTCTTCCTTCAAGAAAAGATTGAATTGAATCAATATATATTTTAAATATCTAGTAAGTTATTTGTCTAGAACTACAATCACAAATTACTTGCCTTCTTTCCCAAACTGTGGAATTTCATACTAGGCAAAACTTGCCTTATAATTTGCATACCTAAGAAAAAAAAATATTTTCAAAAGCCTTGTGACCTTTGGATATCCTTTTTTTAAGATAAAAATCAATTGTTTTTTTTATAGGGGGCTTTATTTTGCTGTCTGAATTCCAGAAGATTTACACGTAGTATATTCTTATATTATTCTTGAAAGTGTAGCACTATCCTTATTACTGTACTGTACCGCCTACCTGGCAGTGGTATGACTCAGCTAGTAAATCCTGCTGCATTCTTTTTCATTATTTATCTTTTGATTATTTATTACTTATTTGGCCTAGAAGAAAAACAGTTTCTCAGAAACTGCTTCCCTAGTGCTGAGAAAATGCGGATGTGGACAGTCTGTAGAGACTAGCCATTTATATCTCCTTGTTTTTTTTCATCTTGGTTATGTAAATTACAGCAAGCAAACAAAAAATTCAGACAAATAAATAAACTTAAGAATCTTACTACTTCAATAGAAGACTAAGTTGTTAGAAGTTAAGAAGAAATTGCTTTTGTATTGTGATATCCATTTGTAAAAAAATGTTTATATGTTACAGCAACTAGTGCTAGCACCTGCATTTGAAATGCAGAAGGCCCATGTTGCTAACAAAACACTGAAGAGTAGATAGTTTTGGCAGTATGATTCAGTTATGTCTCATTTCAACTGAATACAAGCTTTTGCATGTTTTGTTCCAGTTTTCCAGCTGTTTTCAACTTTTCCGTGATTATCAGGACATTTATTTGCCATTTGTTAGAAGCTTATGGAGAGCTGTTGTAGTGGAGTACGGATATGAGAGGAGGAAAAGGACAATGAAGGACTCCCAGTTCCCTTCATTATCACTGTCTGGTGTAGTACCATTGAGCCCCACAACAACACTACACAGATGCAGCAGAGCTGCTGCCAAAGCTTCATCAAGGTTGAGCCTTTCTTGTTTCTTGACCTATTTCCAGCAATTTAATTTGAATAAGCCTAATCCAAAATACAAATATATTGCCACCCAGAAACTTGTATGAGGCCCAGTCGAGCCAAAGTAACTAAATATTAAACTCTTGCAGTCAGTTGTTAATTTAATTTCTGGGTCGTAGTAATTCCTTTGTTTCCTAAAGCTTTAATCAAAAAAAAAAACAAAACAATCAAACAAAACCACAGTAAAATTTAAATACATAATAATATATAAAAAACATGTTACATAATGTAATGAATACATAATGAAATAGTTGAAACTTTTGGATTTTAAAAAAGTACAATAAATTTTCTTACTTTTTTTTTGTGCCTGCCCCAAACTAGTATATATCTACAGAAATATTTATCACATCTTACATGATCAGGTTTTTTCAGTGGATTTTGCTAGCTTCTTTGCATATTCATTAAAAGAAGGGGAACATGGGGAATGAACAGTTTACAAATCTTAAAAGATGGAGAAATAAGAACGGTAATATTTTTCTTGGACTGAAAATTTGAAAGACCTGAGAATTATTTATGAATCAGAATAGCCTGTTGCTGATGTTTCATTACAGGTTTGAGGTGATGTTGTCATGTGACGTTCAGTAAGGTTTCCAATGCTGGAGAAATGTTTAAATCACAGATCACAGGGTACTGAAAAGGAAACATTGTTCATGAATTCTTGCTTCCCTCCATTGTGATGGCTCAAGTGTTCTTGAGGCTGGGACACTGCCAGTCAGATCAAACTTACAGCTGTAACAATTGAAGTAGGCTTGTACAGTAAGCTGGTTGTCTTTTAGGCTTCTAATCATTTTATGGTAGGCTGAACTTTGCCTGCACTTTTCAGCATGGATAGATGATGCCAACTCTGTACCTAAAATTCAGAAAAATTAAGAATTAAAAGTAGTCATTCCTCCTCCAGAAGACAGAAGTGCTCTCTCACTGCAAAGTGGCAAAGAAACGGTGCTTTTCTTTGTATTGATTTCCCTATCTCCTTTTCAGAAATTCTAATCAAAACAGGTTTTTTAGATGCCCTCTTTAAGATTGCAAGAGATAGAATAAAATATCATTTTTTCATTAAGAGAGACAGATCTCAACACAACCCATTTCAGTGGATGGCTGACTCAGGACAAAACCAAAAAACAATAGAAATATTACTGAATAAGTGAAATAGGTAACAGAAATTTTATTAAAAGTATGAATTATGAAGATTTGTGCTTGTATCTATTTTTAAAGAAGTGGACTAAAATATTAGCTTAAAAGGAAGCAAAGATTTAAAAATTAAAAAAATGTGTTGATTATTGTAAAAGTTCTGAAACTGTCAAAAATCTCACAGTTCCAGAGGGACGATTAGGATGGACTTATTTTATCTTATATATAGTTCATATCAAAGTCTTTCATGTTCTCAAAAATACTGCACTGATGAAACTATAATAAAAACAAGTCCAACAGTCCAACTGAAGACTGTTTTAGTATTGAATCTGTTGATATTGAATCTTTAATCATCTCTGTAGTTATAATGGTATTTAAAAATTATAATTATTTTCTCTGGTATATGACCACCTCATAGAAAACATCATATATGTACATTGATCTCTGAAAACTCTTATCTATAAAATATTATATATATTATACATATTATATATGTTCCAGGGGGATCAAGAATAATTTTTAACTTGTATGTTAAAGATAATTCAAAGAAGAAAGGTCCATGCTAATGTTAGACACAAATCTCTTAACATCAGAAATATCACAAGTCTAAAATGGACAAAACAATACTGTGTGGAGTTAGTTTTAAAGTCACTACTTCAGTTTGCAGCAACAGACATGCTAGCACAGCATATGGAGCTCAGTGTACATAATTACTAGATAAAAGATAATTGGATGGAAAGATAAAATAAACAGAGAATTGGTGAAAATGGAGGTTTTCTGATCACTGAAGCCTTCTGATCATTCCGCTTTTAACAGCTGAGTGGTAAGAAGGAACACAACATCCCTTTAAAGTTGTTTTCCTTAATGGAATAATTTAAAATAAGCATGAACAAAATATATGAAGCAACATTCATTGTGTCATGTGAGTGAGGTGTGATGAGAGAGTGAGAACAGAGTGATGATAGTTCTCAGAGGAAAAAAAGACATTTGGTGAACACAGCAAAGAACATGGGTCTGAAAGATATTTCATTATACTGCAACCTTTTCTATTTACCTAATGATCCTGAACACCAGTAAGAAAGAGAAGAGCTCTTGATTTATTTTTGCCACCAATTGTTTTAGGTAAACAGCAGTATATTCACCCTTGGTGGCACCATTAAACAAAATCACCAGGAGAGAAAAGAATTATTACACTTTCTTCATGTTAATACCTGCTCACTGAACTCAGATTTTTCAGTCAGTTCAGTAGCTAGAGCAGTGCTTGAGGATACAATTTCAACATCCTTTTTCTAACTGCATGACTTAATCTTTATTTACATGTCTCTTAATTATTAAGACATCAGCCAAATTTTTTAAGGTATTCTGTCTTTAGAGAAAATGTCTGCTTTAGATTAAACTAGTTAATTTTCTTTTGTCTAATCTATAAATTGAATAGGACAAAATGAATCATAGAACTCAACATGTTCTTTTGTAAGTGCTACTGGAAAGCCAGAACTTTCTATGGTATTGCTGTAGTTCACCCATCAACAGACCCTGACATAGGGAGAAGGCTTTGAGAAAATGGGTGGGGGTGATGTGGTCATTATGGGAAGAATATAGGAAGTGATTTAACTCACTCCCTGAAAACTTGGCTGTTTACTAAGGGCTGCTAACTACCAAGCGATCAACTCAAGAAAAGGAGATCAAATTTTGTGTGTCTGTTCCTGTTTTCCTGTTGTAAAGTTGGTTTTAATTAATAAACCTTAGGGGTCCCACCCAGTGGGTAGATAAAAAAATATTGCCAAGTAAATGATTGAAATGTATGGTGAAAAAAACATCACACTGGAAAGCAATCAATGATATTGCTCAGTCTAAAAACATACCCATGAAAATCGCATCTAGTTTCCAAACTCTAAACATCCTGGCAATATGCAGCTAGAAGGTTGATAATTTGGTTAGAAAAAATATAGCACAAAACTCTGAGGCAGTACCTGTTTACAGGAGTGGCTTAGGCACACAGGGACATAGGATTCATTTCAACAGACAATAAGAGAAGATGTCAAAAAAGAGGACTGGTGAAAGTTCTGGCGAAACAAGTTGAATGTTTATGTCATTTTTTTTAAACAATGGTACAGCACATCACCAACATTCTACCAACTTCATGGAAGGTAAGCTAATCTGGGAAACTTCTCATGTGTGTTACAACAAACACCTGGAGGGTGGAAAGAAATCCTTACAGGAGGAGAAATAATGGTGCTCAGAATATATTCCCTGCCTAAGCCATCGCTGGTCTCACAACTGCCTTAAGCCAGTGGTTTGGTACTTCTCCCTTATGCAGAGAAATATAATCTTAGCATCGATAACATTTTAAGAATAAAGTAGAACAAGCTGGGTTTAGGTCAAATCTTGTACAATGAATTTTCCAGCCACTGCATCAGCCTTAAAGTAGTGAGACAGTAGATCAATAGAATAAACTACTAAAC